ACAGAAAACTGTAAGTGAACACATTGGAGTGATGCTGAAACTTAAAATAGAACAGACCAGTTTCAAAGAAACAAGTAGAAAAGGCAGTAGTCTTGTAAAAGCCAAAGTGCAAACAGGAAGACAAAATACTATAAGTGTGAGTTCAGGAGAGATTGTGAAATTGTGAGGTCTGAAGTGTATTAATCGTGTAGTGGAGGATTATTAAAATTGTTTGTGCTTTGTGAAAAAGGGTCGTGTATTTATAGTGCAGAAAGAAGGCAGAAATAAAGTAAGAAAATAGTTTGAAAACTGATTGTCAATCAATTACACAAGGTTTCCCTTAATTAAGGAATTCAGATTCAAACAGGTAAAATCACTTAAGGAAAGGAATTAAATAAACACTTTCTGTAAAGCATGCAATTGAGGGCAAATACATAAAGGTTATTTAAGGACAAGGTTTTTGAAATATACGGTTGTACAATCTAAGGAAAGAAAATCAATTAATGGCCAAGAAATCTGAGGCCAGAGATTTTGTATGAATGAACCAAGTTAGAAAGATGGGAAAGGTTTTTAACTTAAGGAAAAATCAGCAAACAAATCAATTAGACCTATTTAAAAGGAATTCCGAATCAATCACAAGTTTGAAAACCTTTTTTGAAGAAAGATTCATCACATATAAAAGCATACAAACACGATAAACATGAAAGAAACTTGTCCCGCCCTTGTAAAATCAATAGAAAGAATCCAGTGTAGAAGAGTTTAGCAAAAGGTTCAACATTGTATGAAGACAAAGGTGTCCAAACTCAGTTCAGGGATTCAAAAATCAGTCAGAAAGAGTTAAGGGTTCTAAAAAATAAAACCCTAGTTCACATAATCAAACCTCGGCAGAATCCCTAAATTCTAGGGTTTCCACCTTGAATCAAATTCAGAGATGAGGAGGCAAGTAGTCGAAATAGGCTCAGAGGTTTCCTTCAAAAACCCATGATAAAACATGCAAACACAGTAGAAAGATTCAAAGAACATAATGGAAAATACTGGAAGAAACATGCTTTTTTAGAAGAAACTTAACCAAGGTTCAGTAGAGGAAAAAATAGCAAGAACACTTATGAACCCAGTAGGAAAACACAGTAGAAGAAACATGCTTAAGAAAGTCTTTTTATAGAAGAAACTTAAACAAGGATCAGTAGAAGGAAAATAGCAAAGAACACAGTAGAAAGGTATAGTATAGCATGACATAGTAGAAGAAATACCAGAACATAGTAGAAAGCATATGAGAACATAATATGTAAAACATGGTAGAAGAAACAAAAGCATGGAGCATATAGAACACAGTAAAGAACATTCAAGAACAGAGTGTAAAACTCAGTAAAAGAACATACAAGAACATGGTAAAAGAAAAAGCACAAGAACATAGTAGAAAGCATACGAGAACATGATATAGGAAACACAGTAAGAGAAACATACAAGAGCATGATACAGTAGAGGCAAATGCACAGGAATGACAAAAAAAATCTTAAAAATACTTAAACATTTTCGGTAAACTATTAGGGAAATTATTTGAAAACCCAAAGAGAGAACAGATACACAACGAATCTAAAGAAATCGGAGAGAACCTCGAAGGGTTAGGGTTTCAGAAGAACCCTAGAAATTGGTCTGGGCAGGATTTTAGGATTTGCGTCATGGGCGGGTAAAATTAGGATTTGGGCCGGTCCAATTGGGATTGAAATTGGGTTAGTTGGGGTGGTCGATTTGGGCTACAATTGAAATGAAATAGGGCTAGATTTTAAATAGCCACTTTTTCCCTTTTTATTTTATAAAAATAGTAAAATGATTTCTGAAAACAAATTAAGGGTGCTAAGTTTATTAACACTATATAAATATTAAATTAAAAATACTGGAATCAAATTTGGTAATGATAAACACAATTAATTCTTAAAATAGGCTAATATTGCAGTTATACACAATTTAGCTTTAAAAATACTAAATAAATTTGTAAAAATGTGTAAAAATTACCTTAACTATATTTTTGGAAAATATGAGAATAATATAAATTAGTCACCAAAATGATAATTTGAGGAATAATTATTGGGTTCTGTATTCCTAAAATAGGGCAATAATTTGATTTAAAAAATCTATTAAAAATTAGGCAAAATACTAAAACATTTGGACGCACTTATATATGCATACATATGCTGTTTTGAAAGTATTTTGCATATAAAAAATATACAGGAAAAAATTGGGTATCACCAACTGCCCCTCTTTACCCGGGAAGGATGAAATAGTTGTCGGGTAAAGACATCATGGCCAATTTTGCCCAAGTGAAATAATTTGAAGAGGTTGACCGTGCTCTAGTTCTTGAGCTGCCTACATAGCCCTGGTCTTACAGGAATTAGTCCATATGTAGTTTAGGATCTGGCGGCGGAACATGCCGATGGAGATCTTTCAAGAACGGACGCGATATTCAGGTTTGGGATGGATGGCTAAAGCCTAATAGGGCTGCGGGAACTGGAGTGGGATAGCTCCTGCTGAGCGGCCGTTGCTAGCCAGTTTACCTGCAAATAAGCAATACAAGTGTATATTATGCGAAAAAATTTAAACATGATACAGGTTCCCGTCAGACCATGAATGCTGTCTTTGGACGGTTAGGATGATGTCCTCAGACCATGATGTCCTGGGCCACGAAGTGTATGATAAAGAATTTGCAGGCCATGAAAAGATGCTCTCGGGCTAAGAGAATGATACCTCTGAGTTATGATGCCTCTGAGTTATGACGCCTTTGGACAATTTGGCAATCTATCAGCCCATGAAATGCAATAGGTGGCGATCTTTCCGCCCATGAAAGCATAAATAAAGTCGTGATATTTCAGCCGATGCAAGACATAAATAAAGGTGGCAATCTTTCAGCTGATGAAGACAGTGCTTAGTCTCGGAAGGCAGAATGGTAGCCTTATGGAATTCAGGAAATGCAGATGGAGACAGAGCTTAGTCTCGGAAGGCAGAATGGTAGCCTTGTGCAATGTAGGAATGCAGATGGAGACAATGCCTAGTCTCGGAAGGTAGAATGGTAGCCTTGTGCAAGAAATAAAAGGAGAATAGTAATAAACTTTCTTAGCTAATAGCTGGTAGCTGATTGTGATATTATGGCTGCTGGGGATATTGTATGCGGATAGCGACAATGAATATATGTGACAATTCCGAGAGTTGTGTTCCCGAATAGTGTGAATGAATAATATTTGATTTTGCGACTTGGGTGCCTGCATCCAAAGAAAAATCGTGAGTTTGTAAAGGGGAAAGGTTAGTTCGTATCCCTGCTGACTTTGCTTGCCCTGCTCGACTTTGATCTGATGACACAGTATGTATCATAGGGGTAGCGTTGCTGAACAGAGCGATTTCGATAATTAACATGCATGAGTTTGATAAAGATATAACGAAGTACATAAGAAATAGTTTTTAGATGAACCGACGACTGTGACGTGGTTCGGGACATTGCAACCTCTCTCTTTCCGGAATTTTGAGGGTCCTCCTCAAAATTCTGACCCAGTTTACTGGGTTGCTGCTTCTGATAGTTGTTTGCGATGATCGGCTGAAGTTACTTCGGAATTTTGAGGGTCATCCTCAAAATTCTGCCCCAGTTTACAATTGCGGGGGAGGGGGGGGGGATGAAAATTTTATTGAATTGTGACCGAACCCTTAAGGCTGCCTACGTATCCCCTCATAAACCGGAATCATGTCAGACGTAGTTTAAAGTACATCATATAGGAAAAGCATGAAGTTTCACATAGTAGCATTTGACTACATCTGAATTGATTGGTTTTGGCCAAACTTCTTCGTCCATTTCTGCAAGTATTAGGGCTCCTCTGTCAAACCGGGACAGTTGGTGTTAAAAAAAATACTTTAAAAAAAAAACTCCCGCATCAAGATGAAGCCGAAGGGAAATTCTCTGAAGTACATCATATAGGAAAAGAATGAAGTTACACATAGTAGCATTTGACTACATCTGAATTGATTGGTTTNGGCCAAACTTCTCCGTCCATTTCTGCAAGTATTAGAGATCCTCCTGTCAGAACCCGATGAACCATGTATGGACCCTGCCAATTGGGAGAGAATTTCCCTTTGGCTTCATCTTGATGCGGGAATTTTTTTTTAAAGTATTTTTTTAACACTAGCTGCCCCGGTGTGAACCGTCTTGGCTTGACTCTCTCGTTGAAAGCTATGGACATTCAGTTCTGATAAAGCTGACCGTGGCAAACTCCATTCATTCTCTTCCCATCTACAAGAGCTAGCTGCTCGTAGCGGTTTCTCACCCATTCTGCGTCATCGAGCTCAGCTTCTTGTTTGATTCTCAAGGAAGGAATCTCTACTTCGGCGGGAATGATGTCTTCCATGCCATAAACCAACATATAAGGAGTTGCACCAGTTGATGTGCGGACTATGGTGCGATACCCCAATAAAGCAAATGATAGCTTTTCGTGCCATTGCTTATGCTTCTCTATCATCTTCCTTAGTATCTTCTTGATATTTTTGTTGGCGGCTTCTACGGCTCCATTCATTTGGGGCCTGTAGGCTGTGGAATTCTTGTGTCAGATTTTGAAGGTCTCACACATAGCTTTCATCAAGTGACTGTTGAGGTTGGAGCCATTATCAGTAATGATTGATTTCGGGATCCCGAATCGACAAACAATACGGTCGCGGACAAAGTCTGCCATGAGTTTCTTAGTCACTACTTTGTATGATGCTGCTTCGACCCACTTGGTAAAATAGTCAGTTGCCACGAGGATGAATCTGTGCCCGTTGGAAGCGGCCGGCTCGATTGGACCAATAACATCCATTCCCCAAGCGGCGAAAGGCCATGGTGAGCTTGTTGCATTAAGCTCATTTGGAGGTACATTTATCATGTCTGCATGTATCTGGCAGCGGTGGCACTTTTGGACGTACTGGATGCAGTCCGTCTCTATGGTCATCCAAAAGTAACCAGCACAGGGTATCTTCTTGGCTAAGACAGAGCCGTTCATATGCGGACCACAGGTCCCGGCATGAATTTCCTCTAGTAGTTTAGATCCTTCTTTCGAGTCGACACGCCTTAGTAATCCCAAATCTGGAGTCCTCCTATACAGGATTCCTCTGTCGTGAAAGAAATTATTGGTAAATCTTCAAAGCGTGAGCTTTTGAGTAGTGTTTGCAAGCTCCAAGTATTCTCCTTTTGCCAAATATTCCTTGATATCATGAAACCAAGGTTTTCCATCTGCTTCTTCTTCGACATGAGCAGAATAAGCTGGCTGATTATGGATTTTCTCCTGAATAGGATCGATGAAGTTTGTATCTGGATGCTGTATCATGGATGACAGGGTAGCCAATGCATCGGCAAACTAAATCTGGATTCCATTAGTTTTAATTTGGGCATTTCATACTGTTCATCATAGTTCGCAATACCACCGCTATCTTGAGTAGAGTCCGATCACGACCCGATCGGCTAGGTTGCCTCATTAGAGACATATACCTCAATAACAATCTCATTCTCCTTTTCTGGAATTCAATATCAGCACAATACCGCCATGTGTGCGGCATGGCGTCCGATCACGGCCCGATCGGCTAGGCCACCTTACTAAGGCATTGTTCCTTTCTCATTAATCATCTCGTTTCAATCTTTATTTCACATATATCAATTCATAGGCACTTGGGGCCACAATTATCACATCATTCTTGGCACTAGGCCACATTTCACATCATTTCCAATTTTAATGTTAGCTTTTCAATTGAGGATAATAGGTACACACAAGAGCAATTTAAGTTGAAAGCACAGATAAGATTTCACGTAGATGGCACAACAATCGAAAATTTCAATCTTGACTTGAGGTCTAGGCATTTCAGTACATGATTTATATTCCTCGCACCCTTTTAAACTATCAAAAGTAACATATCGATCGTATTGAGACACATATTTCACGTATATAAAATTGCAACACCAATTCGTGTGAAATAACAATCAATACATCAATCCAACTTTAATCCTACCACATTTACCTAATCACTCACGGAGCTCATTTTCTAAAAGAGGGGGTTATCCATACATACCTCAATAGAGCTTTCCTTAAGTTCTTACAAAATTTGGGGACTCTTAGCAACTTCAATCTATTTTACGAGAATTACAAATTGAACAAAGAATTAGAGACATGCTTAGGATTCTAGCTCATTTGAGCATATTATCAAGCACTAAGTGTGCATTTTGGTTTTAGGACCCTTTTGTGAGAGATTTTCTTCAATCTTATACTCCAATTGCCATTTTTTTAGTTCACAACCTCCCCATACCCTATTACCTTTTATGCTTGCAAGAAATCCATTTTTATACGCATGAACCCACAAGCTAAGTACTCATTCTAGTGCAAATTTCGAAAGCAAAGTTTGGGGCTCAAGTTATTACCTCTTGGGGTGAAAGCCTAGCAGCTGTGCTTGAATTTCTTTAAGGGTTTAGGAAAGAATTGGGTGGGGACTTGATGAAGATCACTCTCTCTCTCTAGAACTTCCACTCTCACTCTATTTGCATTAAAATAACATAAAAGGGGTTTCATGGGGTGTTTTTAATGGGATGGGGTCGGGTTTTAAAAGTTAGAAAATAGGAGGCCCGACACAGTGTGCGATCGCATATAATGTAGATGCTGCCCGCAAAAGGGCCCGCAAAAATTGCTTCAAAAACTTGAACAAACTGCCCGGGTATGCGTCAAGAATGCGCTCCGCATACCTGTTCTACGATCGCATAATGCCCTGCAGAACTTCCCTTGGCAAAATTCCAAGGGGGTTATGCGATGACTATGCGGCCCGCATATTGATTATGCGAATTTGAACCGAAATGTTATCTCTATCTAAGTGAAGTTGAGCCTCAAAAGCGGGAACTTTAGATAGAGAACCCTTCCCCTCTGTAGCCTGAGCCTTCGCCCAAGATTTTAGCTCATCATGCTCACACCTGGCTCGGCCAACTTCATCCTAAAGGTGCTCCAGGGCCTCCGTCTTTTTTTTTGCGTGTGAAATAAACGAAGTGTTAGCCTCAGAAGCTAGAAGGCGGAATACACGCTAACCCGGGACAGAAATTTACCTGCTCCTTCAAGTAGCTCTGTAAAGTGCTTTGTATGGAGCCATACTAGCAACCCACGAAGTAACATATGATAAGGTGGAACCTGGGTCAATCGATGCATATACATCATATGAGGATACGGATAATATACCTGTAAAAACATCAGGCGATGACTCTTGATGTTGTCGTCCTGCCAAGGCATAAATGAGGTTTTGAGGATCGTTCGAGCTAGACGCTCCCCCTATGCCTCTACCACGACTCATCGGTGCTTGTGAACCTTGCCCAGGGGGGTGGATTGATGATGACAAACAAGATACCAATCCCCCTGGCTGAGCTATGCTTGCATCACCTCTCTTCGGACAATCCCTCATAATGTGGCCCGGATAACCCCAAGTATAACAAACACCAAACCACATACGACACTGCCCAGCATGTTGCTTATCACACTGAGCACATCTTGGCAAGAGCGGCCTCGTCTGACTTGACTCACCCCTATTTTGAGAACCTGAGGCCTTGGAATTCTGACCATGTCCTGAATATGTGGAACGATCAAATCTCTTACCGCCAAACTGAGGGGCGCGCTAGCCGATGGATGGGATAGATACCTCAGGTATTGTGGCTTCTAACCACCTCGAAACTCACCAGAAGGACTCGAAGACCTCACTTTCTTATTATGGGTCCTATCATGCTCACGATCTGCCCTCTGCTTCTTCTTACGCTCCTCTTCACCTGGAGTGTATGCATGAATAGAAGAAATATCCATGTCTACCTGAAGTGAGACCGGCATACTATCGTTAAGCAAGTGCGTCTCTAACCCCATCACGAACTAGTAAACTTGTTATTTTATTTCTTTATTTGTGATCGAACTCCGATTCTTTGATGTCAATAGTGCAAATATTGGGACCACCTCATCGACTGCGAACATTTCTTTTATGGTCGGTTGCTCTGTGTAAACTATTTTGATCCCTCCTGCTGTGGGGAATTTCAACGCCTGATATAATGTCGAGAGTACAGCCCTCATGTCGTGAGTCCATGGCCTCCCGAATAGAGCACTGTATCTCATATCTCCTTCGATCATGTAGAACTTTGTTTCCTGAACGGCTCAGGCGGTATATATCAGCATGGTTATCTACCCTTTATTGGTCTCCCATGCTATGTTAAATCTATTTAAAACTCGGATTGCAGGCACAATTTGGTCTTGCAGACCCGAGTCGTTTGGCGACCCTTGATCTGATGATATTGACCGATCTACCTGGATCAATTAACACACCCTTAACTCAAGATTTATTTATGAGTACGAATACTACCACTGCATCATTGTGTGGTTGTATGATGCCTTCAGCATCCTCGTTGTTGAATGATACGATTCCCTCTAGTACGTAATCTTGAGTCCATTTTTCCCTTGTATTGGACACTTTAGTGCGCTTTCGCATCAGCCTCTAGGAGACGTCAACCCTACCAATGATCGTGTTAATGACATGCTGAGGTTCCTCTTGCTCGATTTGCTTGTTGGAGTCTGTATTCCTGATGTGATTTTTGGCTCGATCACTTAGAAACTTACGGAGGTGTCCGTTGTTGAATAACCGGGCTACTTTCTCTCTCAGATATCTGCTATCTTCGATTCTGTGGCTAGGATATTTACACATTAGGTTGGGGTCCCTTTGGGCAGTATTAGATTGCAATGGTCGAGGCCACTTATTATCTTTGATGTGTCTGATGGCTGATACGATGGCAGCAACATCGATGTTGAAGTTCTACTCCGATAACCTCGGTGCTTCCTTGTTGATACCCAAATTTTCCCTGTATATTTTTTATATGCGAAATACTTTCAAAATAGCATATGTATGAATATATAACTACGTCCAAATATTTTAGTATTTTTCCTAATTTTTAAAAGATTTTTAAATCAAATTATTGCCCCATTTTAGCAATACAAAAACCAATAATTATTCCCCAAATTATAATTTAGTGATTAATTTATATTATTCTCATATTTATTCCAAAATATAGCTAAGGTAATTTTTACACATTTTTACAAATTTATTTAGTATATTTAAAGCTAAATTGTATATAATTGAAATATTAGCCTATTTTAAGAATTAATTGCGTTTATCATTACCAAATTTGATTCCAGTATTTTTAGTTTAATATTTAT